TGAGAGCAGTCGGGGGCTTGTGACTTCCTCCCGATTCAAAAAGACAGCCGTGTCCTCAGGTGCTAGCCCCTTTCCGTGCTCTCGAGCCTCCGTACCGCTGCACTTTACTTCTGCACTTCCTCTGAGTCTCAGTGTGCTTTTCTCTTTCCTTCTAGTTGTAGAATTTCCACTCAGCCAGCCTTCCTGTAGTTCTGGATGATGTCCGTTTTGTCTTTTAGCTGTATTTTTGAAGTTGTTGTGGGAGGCAGCAATTTCGGGTCTTTACCTATGCCGCCATCTTGGTTTCTCTCTATCTTTCTTTAATTAGTTAACATTTGAGCTTTACAACTGTAATAGCTCCCAGATTTAGACCACCTACTTTAGTTTAAAAAAACATTGCCAGTCACTATTCAGTAAGACAAATTCATGACTCAATAATGGGATCTTCACCAATCATTTAAAAGACTATTGATACAGGTTTTCATCTTGTAGTAAAAATTCATTAAACTAATAAAGTTGTAGGAAATTGCCAACATGAAAAACCACCAGGCTAAAATAAGTGAAAAATAACCATTAGTTGGGAGTTAACAAATTATTTTGCCCAGTTTCAAAATGCTGCTTGAATCAAGAAGAAAAAATGAAGCCAATTTTTAAAAATATAATTGTAACAGTTAAAATTGACGCTTGAAAGAGATTTTCAAAGAAGTTGTAAAGAAAAACCTTTACTCTTACTACCTTGCCCCTTACCTTTACAGGCTGCTAAGCTGTTATTAGGTCAGTATTCATGTGTGCCTGTATCCACACTTGTGTAGATAATTAAATTCAAAGGTTATTTTCTTAAGTTTTTTGAGTTTATACTGCTATAAGATTGTCCATTTACTATCACTGTGTAACAAATCATCCCACACCTAATCTCATGAAACGACAAACATTTTTTTTTATGCTTAGGAATTCTGTGGGCCAGGTATTCAAAAAGGTCACAGCAAGGATGGCTTATATCTGCTTCATGATGTTAGGGCCTTAGCTAGGAAGACTCAGGCTGACTAGTAACTCAATAACTGGGGGGGGAGGGGGGGGTGACATCATTTGAAGCTCCTTCACTCACACATCTGGCATCCAGTTTGGGAGAACACAAAATCTAGGACTGCCAAATATAGTGCCTACACATGGCTTTTCCATGCAGCTTGACTTCAGCATGAAGGCCTTAAGCTGGTCTGGCTTCTCTGTGTTAGCTCAGAGTTTCAAGCATGAATGGTCCAGCAAGCAGGCAGAAGCTGCATTACCCTTTCTGACATTTTCTTGGAAATTTCCAACATCACTCATTACAAGCAAATAGCAAACCTGTCTAGGTTCAAGGGGATGTGACATAGATTCCACTTCTTAATGGGAAGAATGTCAAGATTATGTTGAAAGAAAATGTGGAATAAGAGACACTGTTTTGGGGCATCTTAGAAAATACCACATACTGCAAAGTCTTAGGCCTCCCAGGTACTACACAGATTCTACAGGCTAGTTCTACTCAAGGAAGTGAGGCATCTTTAGAACCATCTAATCCTGGGGAGAGATCTCTTTAGAGCTTTCAGAAGTACTCTCAGTGTCTTCAGGCTTGTAACTCTTCTTTTTCATGCTATACCCTGAGGGCTAGAGATCTAGGAATACCCCTAACAGTTGGTGACATTAAAACCATTTAAATGCCTATCAGAGTATATGTCTCTTATGTGCTTTTTAATAAGTGGATGAAATACCATTAGCTCACCAATTACTTAAGGCACAAGTCACAAAGAGGTGCAGAAAATACTAAAGATTTACTCTAGGGAAAATTATCTGGTTTGTCAAGAGACTATTGCTACCTGACTCATGCAGATTTGTACAAAGATGAGTAACCAAGTATCCAAATTGAACTCATTCATCATAGCCCAAGATTGATTCCTGTTCACTTGTCAAAGGATAAGTAAAATTAGTAAAATTTATAGTCTTGTTTTAAAAATGTAAAAGGTGCAAAAAGTTAAATAACTGCTTAAAATTTACCTGTGTAGAATATTGGCTTGAGAAGTCTAGACTTATATTTTAAAAAGGCAGCTATCAAACATTTTAGATGGAGTAGAGTCTAGTAACCTAATTTGGGAGGAGGTAGAGGATTGGTGATAATAGACTGATTTGAGTTACATCATTTTAAGTCATCTGCCAACCTCTCACTTATTCAGCAAACATTCATGGCTGGCTATATCTTAGCATTAACTGGGTGCATAGGATGCAAACATGGGTAGAATAAATCTATATCTGGCATTATACATGCCATTTAAAAGCTCTTAATGGCTACTAATGAAATGCTGTATTCCTTATCTTCTATTGCAATGTCTAGAGTTTGAATGTATTTATCACCTCTGTTATGCTTTTCCATGGTGATGGCTTATTTATTTATTTATTTATTTATTTTTTAAAAATATATTTTATTGATTTTTTACAGAGAGGAAGGGAGAGAGATAGAGAGTTAGAAACATCAATGAGAGAGAAACATCGATCAGCTGCCTCTTGCACATCTCCTACTGGGGATGTGCCCACAACCCAGGCACATGCCCTTGACCGGAATCGAACCTGGGACCCGGACTCTTCAGTCCGCAGGCCAACGCTCTATCCATTGAGCCAAACCAGTTTCGGCAGATGGCTTATTTATAATTTGCATCTAGTATTCTCATTAGTCCCATGACTTTTCATTTATCTCATTTCCATTTTTTTTTCTCATTCATTAATGGAATTCTTCCCTCATTTTTTATAGAGTTGCATCGTAGTTGTTTAGTCTACTTGAGCTCTCCTTTGTTTCATTGTCACTTATTTTATGGTATTGTTGTATTAAAAATCAGTGAGCTAAACAAAGGACGCCTTAATCAGTAAGCCAAATTTGGAGTCTTTATTATGCCAGTGGTCTGAGGAGTTGCCTCTCAAAGTCTTGAGCCAAAAAAACATGGAGGAAATTTTCCCTTTATACTTTCCCATTGTCTTTGTCTCCCAAATATGGGATGGGACTTCCGGACCTTTCACAGGCTTTGAAAAAACCCTAGTGCTGGGATGGGGCAGTGAGACTATATCTCAAGGCCTGGCCTGGTGCTAGTATTGCTAACTCAGTCTGGGGGTTGTATTGTTCATGGTTTATGGCCTTTCTAAAATGGGAGTAGTGCTTAAGTAAACAGGTCTTGCAAGACAGGACAATTAAGAGGGAGCAGTGACTAGACTGTAGGCCGATAGAATGTACATTAGATTACTGGCACAGGCTCAGAAGGACAGGATGGAGTCAGTCCTTTCAAGGCCCATTTTTCAGTATCTCACTCTTCCTCTCTCAAGTTTACCTGGTTTTTACTTCTTAAAACTTTTCAACCTACAGCTTAACTCTAGAAACACATTTTTTTTTTTTACTAGACATCTTCAATCCCTTTATTGTTATGGGAACTCATGGATGGAACCTGTTTACCTGAGTTTGAGATCTGATCCTCTCCCAAGGGTAGGACACTGGTGGCAGGGTTAGAACTGAAAGTAGACATGTTTACTGAAACAGGAAAAGAAATATATCAGTTTTTCTAATCAGTTATATTTGGCACATTTTGTTGCTAGTGTTTTAAAATAGTTATGGTTTTCACATGATCACTGGATACTTGCTCACTCATAGGCTGAAGTAGTAAGAACCATGCAACAGACCTAGGCAGGACATAAGTATTTTACATGTCTAATTTTAAAAACTAGATTCAGGGTATTGCTAAAACGGATATAGTTAAAATTATAAGCTCTCTCCAGGTCAGGGTAACACTTTACGCCCCCTCTTAAGAGGAACCTTTCTCCTTGTGCATTTTTTCTTGCTTCTCCCATTTCCTTCCCACTTCTTCACCCACGTGCTCCTTGGGGGCCTATTCACTAGAGAAGTCTCTGCCATCCTGCTATCCCTCTGACAGTCTCTTTTATTCATGCTGCAAGAAGCCCAAGCAAAGCAAAGGACTAGAGCCTACTCTCATGAGAAATGGTTACACCAACTAGGCCTCTCAGTTTTCTTCTCTCTAGGTTTTTTCTTCTCATGCATTCCTTTAGTGATCTCATGTCTTTGTCATTTACGTTTATGTTGCAAGCTAAAAAGTGCTGGGACTCAAAGGTTTGGGTTTAAGATTGAGGGAGCAACAGGGCCCCCTGTCTTATGCCTTTAGACTAAAGCAAGCAAGCAAGAGTTCTGCTTGGTTTTGAGATATAGATTCTTTGGTTTCCAGTTAGCATTCTTTGTGTCTATTACCCTAAAGGACTCCATGGGGAGAACATGGTGCTTGGACTAAGGCAAAAAGAACAAGGATATCTGAGTCTTCTAGCCAAATACTATCTTAATGGCACCACTACCCCAAATTAGTCCCTAACAATAGTATATTGTGGTACACAGATACACCTATAAGCTGTAGTGGGAGCAAACAGTGGTACAGAATTCTTATTGGGAAGTATAAGTATTAAAGATGAATTTACTTAGAAAATGTGTATATTCCAGACAGAAAACTGTAAGTGCAAAAAGTTGGCTTGAAAATTTATGGCATGTTTGGAATCTGATATTTGAACTCCTTGGATTTTTTCCTGCGGATCAGTTAGTTATTAAAGGGTTTAAAGGTATAATCACCATATAATATTATGCATTTTAAAATTATCTTTTAAAAGGTGCTTCCTGGGTAAGTTGGGGTTTAGTTAAAGGTGCTGAATTTACTGGCAAAGCAATCCAGAAAGGTGCTTCTAAACTCCGAGAACGGATTCAACCAGAAGAAAAACCGGCGGAAGTTAGTCCAGCTGTGACCAGGGGACTTCATATAGCAAAGCAGGCTACAGGAGGAGCAGCGAAAGTCAGTCAGTTCCTGGGTAAGATGATTTTAGATGGCTTTACCTCTTTTCAGTTAAATGACAAATAATCTCTTAATTCAAATTAATCTGAATGCTCAATTTAGTTTATCTTTAAGAGTAAAGAATTAGAACAAAGCAGTTTCATCTTTCAAGTCATAGTTGAATCTATAGACCAGCAACATTAACCTATCAGAGCCTTAACAATACTTCTGAAATTGACATACTGATTCAGAATCTGCATTTTTATGAGCTCCCTAGGTGATTTTTACTTGTGTATAAAAAGTTTGAGAAACACTGGTTAAAGGGTTGTTTTGATCATGTTAGAGAAGAGGGCATCTGTATCTTTGAAAAGGAATGGTCCTGAATATGTGTTTACTATCCTTGAATATGACACATTTTTTAAATAATATTTTTATTGATTTTATTTTCTATTTTTAATATATATATAGATATAAAAATATATCTATTTTTAATATATATATATTGATTCAGGGAGGAAGGGAGAGGGAGACATAGAAGCATCAAGCATTGATCAGCTGCCTCCTGCACAACCCCCACTGGGGATTGAGCCCGAAACCCAGGCATGTGCCCTGACCAGGAATCAAACCATGACCCACCTCCTGGTTCATAGGTTGATGCTCAACCACTGAGCCACAATGGTTAGGCAAATATGACACAGTCTTTTAAGGACTGTTCACTGAATGGTAGTTGAAGGTCAAGAGAAAGGGATATATTGTTTGAATAAAGCTGATTTAGTGATTCTGGTGTCAGCCTTCCCAAGCAATATGCTTCTACCTACCCTTCTTTGACAGCTCTAAAGTTTGGTATTTTAAGATAGATAGCTTCTTAGAGATTATCTTTAGATTTTGTAAGATTATCTTTTTGTTATCTAGTTTTCTTTTGAATCAGATTTTGGTTTGTTTACTTTTATGTAGATTTAAATACTTTACTACTATTTCAGTGAGATATCTGTGGACATGGAGAAAAAATACAAATACCCTTAGCTGGAAAACCCGAAAGGTGGATCTACCATCTTGCAATGCAGCAATCAGATAGAAAAGATAGATCCTTCTCTCGCTTTTTTAAAAAAAAAAAAATATATATATATATATATATATGTGCCCTTGATTAAAATGAAACCTGGGACCCTTCAGTCTTCAGGCCGATGCTCTCTCCACTGAGCCACACCAGCTAGGACAGATCCTTCTCTTTTAAACAAATTGCCAAAAAGAACATATATTTGAAGTAGGATTCAAAATATCAGTAGGCTCTGAAGACACATCCTTAAACCAAACAATAGACTTTGTTTAAAAAATAGCCAGCCTTGGTGCTTATCCTTAAACAGAAATGGTAACATGCAGTAAAACAACTTTAGATGCTTGTGTAAGAATTTTATTAGAGCGGTAAAATCAAGGGAAGAATACATTATTTCAAAAGTTGTTTTTTTTTTAATGATTATGTAGTTGATGGAGTTTGCACTGTAGCAAATTGTGTTGGGAAGGAACTAGCTCCACATGTCAAGAAGCATGGAAGCAAACTTGTTCCAGAATCTCTTAAAAAAGACAGAAATGGGAAGTCTCCCCTGGATGGTGCTATGGTCGTGGCAGCAAGTAGTGTTCAAGGTAACATAAAGGCCAGAAATTTAAACTAGGAAAGTCTATTTGCTATAGGCTACTTTTACTTACTTTTAAATATATTTGCAGGATTTTCAACTGTTTGGCAGGGATTGGAATGTGCTGCTAAATGCATTGTTAACAATGTTTCAGCAGAAACAGTACAAACTGTCAGATACAAGTAAGTTGAATTTTATATTTTTAATTTGTATTTATTTATTTTTTTAGTATTTCTTACTGATTTCAGAGAGGAAGGAAAAGGGAGAGAGAAATATATAAACATCAGTGATGAGAGAGCATCATTGATTGGCTATCTGCATATCCTACACCCGAGGATTGAGCCCATAACCCAGACATATGACCTGAGCAGGAATCAAATTGGGATCTCCTGTTTCTAGGTCAATGCTCAACCACTGATCACACCAACCAGGCCAAATTTTATTTTAATGATTAAATCTCTTACAGCATTTGTAAAATCAGTATCTGAGACCTTTTTTTTACTTGTTATTTTTCTTAAGGAGAAGAATATTTTTAGCAAATAATAAAATTACTGTGATTTTTGCCTTACATTACTAATTGTTATAAATAGCTTCTCATCATTAATGCAAAAGAATAGATTATTTTTATAAAGCCTGGAGTTTTTGTATACCTTATTAACTGCATGTTCTTGATGGGTGATGTTTGTCTGTAGTTTTGATAGGAAAATTGAATTATAATTAAGCTATCGTGTCTTGTAAATATTAGCTCTTTATGTATATCTTATTTGACTCTACCACTATACATTTGTATTGGAATGGATAGATTGTATGTCTTCTATTACGTATATTAACTAGGGACCCAGTGCACGAATTTGTGCACCTTGAAAGGAACTGTGGGTTGCAAGGCTGCGGTGGGCACAGGGGCAGGTTTTGGCCCATCCTCCGTGCCCCCGTGGAGCCCCTCCCGCTGTGGCCCCTGGTCCCCTGTCTGCTGGCAGCCCTGCTTTCGCCACTGCCACTCCCACGCGCTAATGGCACTGGCCCCACTTGCACCCACTGATGGCACGGAGAAATTGTGGCCAGCACCAGCTGTGGGTGCAAGCGGGGCAGGCGCCCACAGCAGGTGTGAGAGGTGACTGCCGGCCCCGATCACCCCTCAGGAGTCAGAAGAGGTGGAGAAGCAGTGAGGGGCGATCAGGACCAACAGCCACCTCTTGCACCCACTGACAGTGCTGAGTGATCAGGGCTGGTGCCGGGCACTGTAAGTGGGTACAAGTGGCGGCTCCGGTGCCGGCAGCGGGTGCAAGCGGGGCTGACGGTGGCAGCAGGTGCAAGCACCGGGCAGGACCGCGGTGCATGGGAGCAAAGAATTTTTAGTAACCACCAGAGGCTTGCCCCGATAACAGCGACCGGCGCCCTGCCTTAGCCTGGTGCCCCCGCTCACCTGCTCCATCATCCCACCACGGCCAATGCCCACCATGTTCCCCGCTTTGTTGCTTGCTGCCAATGCCCTCTGGTGGTCAGTGCACATCATAGCAACTGGTTGTTTGGTTGTTCCGCCGTTTGGCCTATTTGCATATTAGCCTTTTATTATATAGGATGAATGGACAGAGAAGTTAATGATTTGCCCAAGCTCATCTGATTAGTGTTGTTATTAAAGATGAGACTTAAAACAGGATCTTCTGATTTTGCCTCTTTATTCTGTTTTTATAAGTACTAGAAGAATCAACTTCTAAAAATTTAATCTAGTATAAAGGACCTCAGTTGCTTTCTTAGTTTTGAATTACTTTAGATCTTAATATTTAATGTTTTTTAAAGAAAAAAGTAATAATGGTGTTCTCAACTCTTAGCTACTTGTGTTAATTATCTACTCACTGACAACATTCGAATTCATACTTTTGTAAGAGACATTGTGCTTAGTGCTTTTCATGTGTACTGTATTATTTAATCTTTCATGCTATTATCTCCATTTTACAGATGAGGAAACCAAAGCATAGAGATGTTAAATACCTTGTTAAAAATTATACCCCCAGTAAGTAGTAGAGCTGGGATATAAGCCAGGTGACCTTTGTCATGCAGTGTCAGAGAATGGTATTAGGGTACCATTTTCCTTGGTGGGACTTCTGTGTAAGTTTAGTATTTAGAATTATTTTTCACCACTGCCTAGCATGTATTTATTTTTGTTTATTTATATATATTTTTCTTGTTTGTTAATCCTCACCTGAGGACATTTTTCCATTGATTTTTAGAGAGAGTGGAAGGGAGGGGGAGAGAAAGAGAAACATCAATGTGACAGACATATTAATGGTTGCCTCCCGCACATGGCTGGGGGATCAAGCCTGCAACCAAGGTACATGCCCTTGAATGGAATCGAACTCACAACCCTTCAGTCTGCAGACCGATGCTCTATCCACTGACCCAAACTGGCTAGGATGCCTAGCATGTATTTAGATTCCTTCCCACCACAGTACATTACCACTGGCTTAGGAAATATTAATTTAATTTCCTAACTTGATTTGATTTGTTCATTCTGAGACATGCCTACCTTTGAAATAAAGCAAGTTGGCACATCATCTTGGACTGTCAATTTTATCAAAAGATTAGAAAAAAAAATACAGAGCAGATCTGAGAATCTTTAGATGGAAGTGTAAAACCCAAGTCTCCCTGCTCACTTCTTGCTACTCTTAGCATTGACTTTTGACTAATACTCTTTGTGTTGTGCCTCTGAGGTTACTTTGATGGATCAGCTATAATTAGAAAATAGTTTCTTCTTTTGTTGCAAGAGCATGAGAAGGTCAGAAGTTCTTTTAGGCCCAAAGTGAATTATTTTTAGACTAGAGGCCCAGGGAACAAATTTGTGCACAGGTGGCATCTGGCCAGCGCACCCTGATCAGGATTGATCGGGCTGGGCCAGCTGGGGGGAGGGGTCATGGGCAGTTGGCTGGCTGACCCCACCCCGAATTGGGGAGGGGTCACGGGCATTTGGTGGGCTGTCCCCACCCCTGGTCAAACTCCTGGTTGAACTTCAGGTCGAACTCAAGGTGGAGGGGACAATTTACATATTAGCCTTTTATTATATAGGATTAATAGTGTCATTTGTTAGCACAGATATTTAGGCAGTCATATTAGAAAGTAGGAAGTACTTTATTGGCTTTGTCCATTTCCTAGTTTAATAGAAAAAATTGCTTACCTAAGTACCATTAAGTAGAGCCTTCTTAAAGCTTTGGGATTCTCATAACTAAGGAAGTATAGATTTTGGTATAGATTTTGTATTTTTGGTCCTTAAGTGAGGAGAACTTAATATGATGAATAGGATATTTAGCAGTGGTTCTGAACTAATTTATTTCTGTTATGGTGTGTATTGCTATTCTTTTTATCCTTTTCCTCCAAAGATTCATGGAGTGAAAAAAAGTAGATAAGTAGGCATATAGTTAGATAAGTTTTTATTTTTAACTATAAGGGTACTTTAATCTTAGCAGTAAAAGGTGAAAGATTTATACGATCTGAAGATAAACCAGAGTAGTGATTTAAATAGAAACTTGGAAAGATGGGAGGGGAAGTGGGGAATAAAGAGTTTTATCCAAGAAATACTGTTTTATCACTCAATAATCTGTCCCAAAAGTAGGCATTTGTGTTTTTTTTTTTAATATATTTTTACTGATTTCAGAGAGGAAGGGAGATGGCAGAGAGAGAAACATCAATAATGAGAGAGAACCAATGATCAGCTGCCTCCTGCATGCCCCACACTGGGGATCAAGCCCACAACCCAGGTATATTGAACCAGGAATTGAACCAAGACCTCCTGGTTCATAAGTTAATGCTCAATCACTGAGCCACGCTGTATGGGTGAAATTTTCTTTTAAGCGAAGAAACTGCAAATATTAAATCAGATATTTATCATTGAAGAATTGGAAGAGCCAATTGTTCTCTCATTTAATTCTGTTCTCATTTATTTATGTAAATTGATATTTATTAACATGTATGAATCTAAATATAATTTATTTACATTTATGAATTTTCATTTATTTACACTATGAAAAAGTATTTGATAGAGTGAGCATCTGTGTTTTTGTACTCTAATCCAACTGATAATAGTATAAAAAAGAAACTTTGTATTCTATTACCTATGATAAATTACTCTCCCAGTAATTATTATTTTTTAAATATATTTTATTGATTTTTTACAGAGAGGAAGGGAGAGAGATAGAGAGTTAGAAACATTGATGAGAGAGAAACATTGATCAGCTGCCTCATGCACACCTCCTACTGGGGATGTGCCCGCAACCAAGGTACATGCCCTTGACTGGAACCGAACCTGGGACCCTCCAGTCCGCAGGCCAATGCTCTATCCACTGAGCCAAACCAGTCAGGGCTCCCAGTAATTATTTTAAATTTTCCTTAATTCTATTCCTTATACTTATAAGAAAAATAAATGTCTTATATTAATTTTCTTAATCTGATTTTTGGTGGTAGAAGCCAATACAGAGGATTATCTATTTTGTTTAGACACATTTAGAAGCAGATTGTGTTAAGAGAAGTATATTTTCTGTCTTTTATGCTTTTGATTATGATTCAGGACCATGTTCATTGATTATGAATGGTTTGTTTACCTGAGGATCTATATAGTTAATTATACTCTTATGATTTGTGGTAAATGTATAGGAACTATTAAGATTATTTATTTTTGTCAATTACATTAATACTTTTGTCTTATTTTAGATTTAGGAACCTGTAGACCTGCAGGAACAATGAAAAGCAATAAGTAATTTCAAAACTGCTATATTTAATTTCAGTATAGTACCTAATACATAATTCATCACTGTTCTACATAGCTTCTGAATTCACATTAGCACCTTTTCCCCCACTTTAAATTGTTTAGAGGAAAATAATTTAAGTAAGTTATATATTTTGTCATAGAACATACATTTGTGAAGAATAAGCTTAGCAAAAATATTTTACTGTAAGGAATTTATTACTCTTTTAAGGTATAATGTTTTGTTAGCTTAGTGAATTTTAATTAAAATTCCCCTTAAATTTGCACTTGGTAAAGGTGCAAATATAAATCTCTTGCGGGTAACTCTTTTGGCAGATGTCATATTATCCAAAACTAGTTGTATCCTATATAATAAAAGCCTAATATGCTAAGTGTCTGGTCTTATGGTGACTGGTCGACTGTTCAACCAATCAAAGTGTAATATGCTAA